AGCAACATCTCTCAGAAGGAACACACCTCTGCCAACATCCTTTAGATTCCAGTTTACAGAATAAGATAACGAATGCGTATTTTAAGCTGCTAATTGTTACAGCCACCACAGAGACAGATGTGAGGACCCTGACTCACCTTTAGGTGTGGCAGTGAGTTTAGTGTTATTAGGCTAAGAATGCTAATTCCCTATCAGCACTTCCAGGAGTTGGTTTTTCATTTTTGTTTTTGTTTTGTTTTTTGCTTTGTTTTTTAATACCCTTAGCTTTAAGGAGCAAGCTACTTGGTCCCTTGAATAGCAGCTGATAGGACCCCTCCCTTGTGCCTGGAGCAGGAGCTGTCTGTCAACCAAGCTGTGCCTTCTCCCAATACTCTACAACCACCGCTGAGGAGGCCAAGTTCTGGCTGCAGAGCCCAGTCCACCCATAGTTGCTGCCAGAGACACTGTCCTTACCTCAGCCACAAAGTCTCCAAGCAGCCAGTGCAAGCTTTGCAAGACTCTACTCTGAGAGAGCCAAGCCACAGTGAACCACAGATTGACCCTGTTTCCCTTGAGTTACCCTCACCCAGGACAGGACAAGGCATGTCTCCCTAGAGTCTCAGCAACAAGTCTCACTGATGTAATGCTAGGCTTTTGGCTGGCCCATAGGGAAGCCTTAGGACCAATAGAATTGGAAGGTGTGCATCTGCCAGGCTGTGATGGCGATCCACACAGGCGCACCTGCCTCTCTTCTGATGACCTGAGCAGAGTGCCTGCTAATTTGGGAAGCACCTCCCCTGGTGTTATAATATCAGGGCCCCAAAGGCTTCTCTGCACTGGTCTTCTGCCCCAATATGTGGCCTCTATCTCAGGTGCAGTGGTATGGAAGCGGTTGTATGAGGGCAAATACCTAGAGCATCTAGCCTGGTGCTCTAGTGTGGCTACCTGCCACAGCCACAATTACAGCAGCAGCAACACAGAGGCAGATGAAGAATCCTGAGCATCCCCAGAAGCTGAGGACCCAATACCCAAAGCTAAGAAGTGGCTCTAACACCATGGAGGAGCAGGGGAATTTCAGAGAGTGGATACAAGCAGACTCTGGAAGGAGCTAAGACTGAAAAAGATGGCGGAAGTATTGCAAAGGTAGAGAAACTGAGACCATGGAAGACAGGAGTCTATGAAGAGTCATAGGCAGTCACTGAGGAAACAAGGACCCCAAGTCCCAGTCATGGGAAAATACTGAGAGCTCTGCCAAGAGCTAAGGAGCCAAGGGGCCCAATAGCCAAAGCTCAGGAGCTAGACCTTCAGTCCAAATGCCAAGCAATGAGCCTCCACTTTGAACATCACCAGCAACGAGCCTGGCTTCGAAAGCAAGATGCTACCAGCATAGACCAAGCATCGTGTTTCCTTTGGTTGTGCACTTTTACGTAATTGTCCCCCAAATTTGCCATTGAGACTTTATCACAAACAGATTTAACAGTAGCAGGTCAGTTGCCCATGCTTGGGATAATTCAGTGGCCCTCTGAAGACTTTCACCAGAAGACATGAAAGAGAGGAATCAAAGGCAGCCACTTTCGAATCTCACTTGTCTAGATTCCTCCAACAGTCCCTTTAAAGCTATGCTGTGGCCTTTCCTGCTCCAGCTGCTTACAGCTCTTTTTTTTTTTTTAAACCAACTGTCTTAGACTGCTGAGATAGTTCAGCCAGTAAAGCACTTGTCACACAAGCATGAGGACATGAGTTTGATCCCTTACGATCCATGTGAAAATCTGGGCATTACAGGCATGAGAACTAGTGCTGGGAAGACAAGTGGATTTCTGGGACTCACTGGCAGGCCTAACTGAATTGATGAGTTCCAGGTTCAAAGACAGGGCGTGCATTAATCATGACAAAAATTGAAGACGATGTCCAGTGTCAACCTCTGGCCTCTATATGCATGCCTACACATGTGTACATACATACACACACACATACACACACACACACACACACACACACACACACACACACACTCTACACCCCTCTGAGCCAGATCTGGCCCTATGGCTGCCTCACCATTGCTCTACAGTGAAACACAAATGCGGTCTTGCATGCCCTTAAAATCACCTATGGACAGCAACCCTGGCTGCGGGAACACCTGTTGAATCTCACCACTAATAATAAAGGTCAAGGTTTCTCACACACAGACAGACAAACACACACTCAGGCGCACGGACAGAGAAAGACATACACACAGTCATGCACAGACACATATAGACACACATACACCTAGATACTCACCCAGCTACAACTATATGGCTGTCTCCTGCTTTTTTTAGTGTGTTAGCTCCTCCACTCTCACCAGATGCAGAGGACATCTGGCCCTTTCCAGCTGCTTATACCTCTGGACTCTGTTCTCTGAAAGTCCCAAGATCCCCAGGTCAAAGAAGCAAGCCTGTTTGTCTCCATGAGTCAAACAGTTTCTCCAAACTCAACACTTGACTCAGTCCTCTAAGTTCCCAGATCTGATGTGCAGAAATGGCTCAGCGACAGACACACAGATCTCTCCAGAGAGAGCTAATGACTATGTCGGTGTCACAGCAACCCCTGGGGTGACAGGGTGGCCAGCACACAGCCCTGTAGACAACTCCATCTATCCTCGAGCCGCAGCAAAATGTATTACAAACACAGAGAGAGGAGCCATAACAGATGCATCAGAGCCACTTAATTAAATCCCAGGGTCGCCAGCAAAGCCTGCCTGAATGCAGCCCTGGGCTTCTCCATCTGACAACTCACTCTATTTGGCTCCTCTAAAGAGTGGACCCTTCTTCATGAGGCTCTCACAATGACAGCAAAGAAGGGGGAAAATGTCATCTTCAAAAATATATCCTTCAAGCAGGACAGAGGGTGGTTTCAGCTCATTTCTGTGCAATGGGAACAACTATGGGCGTGACAGCAACAGGATTCATGAATTTGGGCACAGTTCTCTGCAGCAGGCTTTGCCAGAGCAGGTGAACAAAGATTTCATCCTGCGGGGTCCCACAAGGCTCCCGGGAGAGACCCAACCACTCGGGGGGAAGCAGAGCAAGTCATTTGTTTGGGCCCATGCCAACATAAGCGATCAGATGCCGCTTGCCTGAGCCACTGCCAATGTCCCTTTTCCTTGAATGATGTGGAGACAGGAAAACAAATCTACCGGGGTGGGGTCACGGCTAAGTTGGTGAAGTGCTTACAGCACAAGTGTAAGGGCCCGAGTCCAGCTCCCTGCTGCCAACGTAAGTAACCAGTTGTGTGGTGTGTGCTTGTGAGTCGGGCTCAGGGACGGGAAGACGGGATTCCCTGGGGCTCACCAGCCAGCTGGTCTAGACAAATCAGTAAGTGTCTAGTTCACTCGGAGACAGGGCTCAAAAATAAGGCGGAGCTCGGCGCGCACCCTCGTGTGCGTACACAAGCTCCGTCTGGTGCGCGCACGTGTGTGTGTCTGTCCGTGTGCCTCATGTATACCAACCTCCTCTGACTGGATTCAGGTCTGCCTGGATTCTTCATGCGGAAGGACTTAGGTTTATTTAATCTGGCTTGTCCACAGAACATGGGATTGCCAGGAGACCTGGGCTGCGGCCAGACTGCAGGTTTTAACCTAGCCTGCCTTCGTCCTTGGGGAGAGTTCACACCCCATGCCCAGGGTGCAAGTCATGCCACAGCGGAGGCTGCTGTGACTTCATGACTGCTCCACGGAGCCACCCTTCTCCCTCAGGCCAGAACACAGTCTCGTGCAGGCCACGCAGAGAAAATACCCGCCTATTCAGACGTTACCCTGCCAGCCACCAGAACATGCCTGTGACTGACGCCAAGGGCTGCCGAGGCAGCTCAGCAGGTAAAGGCACCCTCCTCCAAGCTCCATGGCCTGAGTTCAAGTCCAGGGAATCCACACAGCAAAAAGAGAGGAATGACCCCAGAAAGCTGTCCTCTGGCCGTGGCAGCTGTGCATCTCTGCACACACTGAGAAGTTAAGACAATTGGGCTAAGTTTGAAAAGACTAAGGCCAAAGCCCCATTTCCACCCTGAACAGAAGCAGACGTGATGTGAAGGGCAGGACTCTGGGTGTTGGATTTCCCTAAAATATCTGAGCAGATTGGAACTGGAAGCTCTCTTAGAGACCCAGAGATGGAATCCTTTCTCTTTCTCTCTCTCTCTCTCTCTCTCTCTCTCTGATCGCTGTTGCAAAAACAATGGGCAAGCAATGTGCTAAGGAGGTGGGGAAGTGGGGGGGGGGGACAATGACAACAGCAGACCCAGTAAACCTTAAAAGTTTCCACACAAACAGCAAGGACAATTAAACTCCCGGCAGACTCCAGAAGAACTTGGAGCCAAAATAGTCACTGATCGGTAATGAAAAGAATCCAGCGGAAACACTCCGTGTCCAGATTTCTCTGCAAGCCGTGTCCCTTCGGTAGTATTCAAATTAAGTCAGGAGGTGCGTGATGAGGTTTCTTTATCATTATTTTAATAGTCATTTACTTTAATGTATATTAACAAAATTTTAACACATCAAGCTCGTGTGTTTTATTATCTTATAATGACCTTAAATTTGTTTTTAAGCTTGAGGAAGGGAGGCTCTTATTAGCATCAGACTTCAACCAGCTGAGGCAAACAGCTGCTCCAGGAAAGCAGGGCCTGTGAAGGAAATATACTCAGGCAATAACCCAACTGGGCATGGACAGTTGGTAAAAACTGAAATGATGTATGGATTGCTAGATTAAAGGAAATAGCATGCTTGTGGGAAAGGCAGACAGAAAGGGAGAAATGAGAAAAGAGGAAGAAATTAGAAGATATTTTTCACTTGAAACCAAGAAGGGAACAGCAGCCAAGGGCTGACCCAAAGGCTTCTCTTTGGACACTGATCTCATTCTCAGGACGTCATTCTCCCTCCCTTCAAATGAGGGACATTCAGGTAGAACACGCTGGAGATGAAAGGAGGGCAGGAGAGAGACAGAGAAGAGACTGAAACATTCGTGAGCCTGGTCATTGACTGTCTCTAATACCTTCACGACATCTTCATCCGCCGACCTGCATTCCACAGAGTCCAAAACGTCCACCACAGATCCGTCTTCCTGAACCCCCACGACCTTGACAGGAACCGAGACGGGCTTTCCTGTGAGAATGGCGGTGTTCAAAACTTCTGTGTCCTGAACAAGAGAGAAAAGGGCACAGGTGAGCAAACAGAAGTGAGTCACAGGGCGAGGTGACTGACAAGCCACCTGCCAGCTGGGCTCCTGTTAGGAGTGTGAAATAGCCTCCACGGGTTCACATGCTTGAACATTTGGTCGTGTTAGGACAGTGGCCACTCCTGGGCTGGAGAGATGGCTCAGCAATTAAGAGCACTGGCTGATCTTCCAGAGGACCGAGGTTTGATTCCCAGCACCCACATGGCGGCTCACAACCACCTGTAACTCTATTTCTACAGGATCTGACACCTTGGCCTCCATAGGTACTGCATGCACACGGTACATATGTATACACAGACACACACACACACACACACACACACACAGGACTTGCACACATTAAAATAAAATAAATATTTTGTTGGTTTGTATTAAAATTGGTGGTCACTCTGAAGAGGCCAGGTCCCACAGTGATGAGCAGGCCACATCCGTGCTTGCAGCTCCTCTCTGAGACAGAGTTAAGAAACTGCCCGTTCAGTGGCCTAACAGCAGTCCCTGATTTATTGTCCTAGCAAGTGCTGCACTGCATGAAGGCAGACATACACTGACACAGAAGCTGGAATCAGGCAGACTGGGCTCTGTGATGTAGAACCCACAGCACCGCACCGTGGAAGCTCAGCGAGTCCATCATACACAACTGAACAGGGACATGGGGTTGTATAGCATACAGCTCCACAAGGAGGTGGGGTTAGCTCATCTTCGTGGGAGCAATCTCTCCCAGAAAGCAGGCTTCAGGCCACAAATACCAGGGGGAGAAAGCTACGGTGGACACTTTCTGCACATACTGTCGACATCGGCACCCAGACCAGATGAAAGCTTTGCCATGTACACACACACACACACACACACACACACACACACACACACTCTCCAGGAGCTTCACTGGACAAACGTTTTGTGGTCCCCACAGAGCTGACGCACTGGCCTTCTTGACATGGCTGTGCCCATTTCAACAACACACATTCACTCAGGACCTCACTCCCTACGCACAAGTACCTGGCTCCTCCACGCGTCCTGTCACTCAGTCGTGTGATATGAAATGCCCTGTGACCCCTAAAATCTTACAGAAGCATGCTATCCTCTCTGCTATGGGGATTTTTCCCTGCAGAGGCTCCTCTGGCCTCCCGTCCATCATCCCTCTCATGGCAGTGTGCTTGCTCTCCCCTGCCATCTGCCGGTCTGTCTGTCTCTCTCAATTTCATCTCCAGGTCTTATAGGGAAATATTTCCTTCCCTTTAAGGCCCCTGTCATGCTCATTTGCCGCATATATCACAGTAGTTCCATCTGCTCGCCCTCCTACCTCCAGACCTGATCATGGTCTCGAGGCAGTTACTAAACCACACTCCTTGAAGAAACATAATTAAGTGCGGGCCTCCTCTCCTAAACCTCCCACAGCCGCTCTACCCTAGTTAACAGCCAGCAGCAGGCGGTACCATTTGGGATGTTTCGGACCCTGTAGTAGGTGGAGTTGCCCAGAGGAGATGGGTCCAGACAGTTTGGTGGGATTCCACCACACACAGGGCACTGCCTGGCACTGTGAGCACCACCTCCCTTCTCCCACCTCACCTCCTACCATCCTGCAGACATGACTGTCACTTGGCAAAAGAACTGTCTTTAATATTAATTAATAATTAATTTGCATGTATCCATCTACAGTTATGTGGAAGTGTCTTAGAGGGTTTGGGGGGAAGTGGGGGTTGGAGGCTTTTTCGTGTGTGTGTGTGTGTGTGTACATGTAGACCAGAGGACAACTTCAGCTATCGTTCCTTCCTCAGAAACCATCCGCCATGTTTATTTAGACAGGATCACTCCCTGGGACCTAGGCTCTCAGAACTGAGTAGGCTGCTCTGCCTCCCCACCACACCACCACAACAGCAAGCTCTTACTGGGGTCTCTGGAGACTGAACTCGGGTCCTCACATGCACAGGCACTTTATCAACTGAGTAAATCTCTCTCCTCAGGATTCTTAGTTTGAGATTCATCTGGAAAGTGATTGCTCATTTGGGTGTTGCTTCACAGCACAGTGATCACAGGCTTCCTTTCGGGTTCAAATTAAGAAAGCAATGGCACAAAGGGCCACAGAGAATCTCTTCCCCACCCCAGCTGCCGCCAGGGCCTTCCTGCCCCTCGCCGTCCAGCTCTCCCAGAGACCTCCCTTCAAATCCAGGCATGTGGAGGCTTTCATTTCTTCTTCTGGTGAACCACTGAGGCCCTGTAGATTCTGTCTTCATCATTTATCTCCATCTCCTGCCATTCTGGTTTGGCTAGGGTTGATCCCAGCTGACCTGATTAGAGCTTAATGACAGGTCACATGTCCCTCAAAATAGCCAGTGAAAATATCCTGACTGAGTATCCACAAAGACTGTGAAGGGGGGGGGACAGGGCGAACAGAAGCTGCCACGTTCCTGATCAAGATTTCTGGGTTTCTGAACCCTGCTCTGCCTGAAGGTCATAGTCTTTGGACATTCAGAGAAATTCCTGGTTTTATGACACTTCAAGTTTGCCTAAAGCCAGTTTGAACTGAAGTTTGTCACTTGAAACTGAAAAAAGTCTTGAATAAGACCAGGTGAGAGGGTGGGCTCTAGGGAAAGAAGCCAGATAATGCATCAGTCTGCACCCTGGGGAAGCCCTCAGAAGTGACGCTGCTGTCTCTCCCAGACTAAGCTCCAAGGGAGGGCACAGGTTCTAACAGGGGATCATGGCTGGCCTTACTTACAACCACATTCTAGGCAGCTTAGTAGCCATCTTTCCACATTTTGACTCTTCAAAAGTCAAAATAGTAGCTTAGATTTCTGCACCTTTCTCCTCATTATCTCTGGACAGCCTCTCCAGGCTTCCAAAGGTGACCCTTCCCAGCCCTCAGCACACTGAAAGAAAAATCACCATGTCCAGCATCTTGGAAACATCATAAGACACAATATCCGAATCTGTCCAGAGATGTGCCCCTCAGTTCCTGACTGCAGTTTAGACTTCACCCTAAGGTATAGATAGCCTTCTTGGAAATGCATTTCTATTAGTGTTGAACAGAGTGACATGAGGAAAATGTCATAGTGGGACCAACAGAAGAGTCTCTGCTCCATGAAAGCACCAAGAAAAGCCAACAAATGCCATGAAAATCTACTATAGAAAGACGATAGATAGATGATAGATAGATAGATAGATGATAGATAGATAGATAGATAGATAGATAGATAGATAGATAGATAGATGATAGAGATATAGGTGATAGATAGATAATAGATATATAGATAGATGATAGACAAGTTGATAGAATAATAGATATATATACAAATAGACAGATACATAGATTGATACACCAACAGACAGAATAATAGAAACATAGATGATAAACAGATGATAAAAATGGAGAATGATAGATATACAGATATATAGATATATCACCGATACAACGACAAATACACAAACAACAATAGAAACAGATAAATAGACATGCTATTTTGACAGAGGGATACATAGGTAGTTAGCAGATAGATAATAGATAGCTACACAAACTGATAGATGTGTAAATAGATGACAGACAGTGACAATGAATACATAGATGACAGATGAATGCTTGATGATAGATGATTGATGATATATAGACTGATAGAAGATAGACGACAATTGATATATACATTTATAGGAGATAGATAGATATATGACAGATGGATAAATAAAGAAATGTTTAACAAATGATTGAAGGATGAGAGAGAAAGTAATCCTCCTGTCAGCCAGGCCCTAGGGAGAGGACAGAAAAGAGCCCTACATCTGTCCTGTACTTGGCATGCAGCACGAGCAAGGCATGCCGATGCATGAAGCTATTAACAGTAGTTGCAAGTAACTTCCTGACACATCGACTATAACCTCTTGGAGTCAAGCTTCAAAACTGATGCAATCACACACTGAGCCTTGGTTGGGTTTGTCTTCCACAGCCTGGCGGGCAGGTTAGCCACTGAAACCACTTCAGTGCACTGGGTAATGAGAGCCGCAGTTCTTACCACAAGACAAGTGAGTCTTAAAATGCAAAGGAGATGAAGTAGGAGCTCAGAGCGTAAAGTAGATGGCGGAGAACTAATGAGGATCCTGTGCCGGGCCATTGGCATGTTTACGTGTATACAGTAGGGAGTGGGTAAGTGTGTGTATACATGAGGCCTTTCCTCACTTCAGTTCTCTGAGAGGCCTTAGATACAAACACCGGACTGATTTAGCAATCGGCACGCCAAGTGCTGGAGTTTAAGCTCTAAATACCATTCTCTGAAATAAGAAGATAACAGGGCTCCGTGGAGAAATGGCGGGTTGATAGGCAGAGGGAAGCAGAGAGCAGGAGCCTAAAATATCTCATGCAGCCAGGAGGTAACTAAGAGCTCAAACAACAGAAATGTCAAAAAGGACACAGGAGACAGCATGAAGGTTGTCTGTTGCCGACCTGGGACAATTTAGCATCCCGGTAAACAATCATAGCAACCAATTATAATCTATGGAATAAAATGAGTTCCTGAATCCACACTACTGTGATTAAACAAACAGTGGAAAAGGAAGCTGGGTCCTTGGGGTGGCATGCCAAGTCACAAATGCAAAAGGAATCATGAAATTAGAACCACCACCACCTGGCAGCCACCATTTATGCCTTAATTGCCTTGAGTAAGAATCATTAATGGATTCTGCGGCTAACTCCAAGTATAAGAAACGGGTTATTTGCGAAGTGTCACAGTGTCTCAGTGCAGTCGAGCTAATGATTTCCAAACGAAACAACTTCAGCTTTGCAGTGCAGATCCTGGCACGCCCCACCTCATCCTGGTGGTCAAAGATTCTATCACTTGTGAGGGGATAAGCACTGGATCTTGAAAAGGACACCGTGCCACTTTTGAAGTGCAGACTGAACCTGGAATGAAGACATGTGAGATAAACCCAACCAGGGGCATCAGACAGAGCGAGCGTGCTTTACAAGTGTGTTGCAGTCTGAAAAATAGAGGTTGGGAATGTGCTATTGATTGAGGGCGGGACACATGCAGAGAATCCTGGACTAGGACCTCAACCTGGGAAAG